TTATCAGTTTAAAAGTCGGTACATTTATTTTATACGCAGATAAAATATTAAACATTTCAAAAAGAAATATTTGTATTCATATATTAACACAAATAAAATGCCTATCAATCATTCTGATTCAAAAAAAAGGTTCTGTGATACGTCATGTAAACGAAGATCGATTAGCTCTGATTTCGTATTGATATCCACTTTGAATAATAATTGATACGGTATCTGTTGATGGATCACACGGCCAATTGTTACCGCTGCGTTTCCAGACAAAGAAAATAAAGCGTCCGTATCTTAGAAAAAGTAGTGTGCAGTGTACTTTATATCCGCCCGTATATTTTATTCTTTCGTTAGTCTCCAGATACTTCCCGCAGTTCTTATTCCGATCCTTCTCCGCTATCCGTTTTCACGCGAAGCTACTCAGAGAGAGAGAGAAAGAGAGAGAGAGAGAACGCGGAGGGAAAAAGAGTTCAGGAGGGTATCGCCGATACAAAGTACTGCGTCTGAGCGAGTCGAGAAGGCGCAACCACAATTTCTCCCTAGAGTCGTAAAGTTTCGTTTCTGGGAACGAGAAGGGAAGGGTGCTACTTATCTTCCCTTTTCTCACCACCGCCCGCGTCCTTCAGAAGTTCGTTGATGGCATGCGGTACACGTATCCATTGCAAAATATAAGGATGGTCTGTCGCTAAGTTTCACTAATACTAGTCTAGTGGTAGCCGGATAGATCGCGCGTCGGGGAATTGAATTCAGTCATTTTCTTATTATTTTATGGGAGTGTGCTGTCCTTCAGAGAACGACGAAATATGTGTCGCGCGGCAGCCTGGTCTCAACTTTAGCTCAACCCGCAGCCTCTCTATCGTCTGACGTGTACCGAAAGTCAAAATGACTATAAATTTCGTATAATATTCCTGCGGGATCTATTTCCATATGAATTTCAAGCAAAACTTACTGCACCAAAGCTTCGCCGCTGTATTAAATTGCTTTTTTGTCGATATTAATAAAATATAACATTACATTCTTCGATATATTACAATTGAAATAATACAGCATTGTATTACCGTATATTTTTAGAACTCAAAGGTGTGATTGTATACTAAAGGAACCGTTCGGCAGCGAATGGATTTTCTCTCTGCCTATTTACGAACTTTATTTGTGTAGCAACACATCACCCCGTTCACGCCACAACTGCGAATAGCTCTCCTCCAAAATGAAACATCCAGGTCTCAAAGGGTTAACGAGCGGCCGATCGACAATGAGAGCACTTTTCGTGCGATTGCACCACTCGTTCTTTGTTATTTGGTTATATCGATCGAAGAGCGGTTGTCGGAAAATTCCGCACGGTTTACGTCCAGCCGGAAAATTTCAGCGTTTACGTCCTCATCGGCGGAAAGAGGTTTCAGCGATGGCACTCAACGTATAGGCCGTAAAGAGCGAAACGAAATGTACTTCGACGTTTCTCGATCACTGATAGTGCGCCAGACCGACACTATCGCGACTACGATTGCAGGCGCATATATGAAATGAACTCCTGCTAAGCTTTAGAACCGGAGATTAAATTTCTTTCCGCGTGGATTTAAGAAGCTGCGCCAAGCGACGAGACTGAATACGGTGTATAGCAGCATCCCATATTTAATATAGAGCTTAAACTTACTTCATCGAGTCACCTTTTATCTACAAGTTCTTCAATTAATTTTATCGAGGTTTTATTTAAAAAAAAAATAAAGGTCTTTTTAAACAAAAAAAAAAGAACCTGAGAAAAGAATAATAACTGAACCGTGAGTGATCGAGAGAGCACAAGACTTTTGGATAATTAAAATCGACGAAGAATTCAGACAAGAAAAAATATAACTTCTTACTGAGACGTCGTACATTGCAAAAAGATTTATAATGTAACAGCGTTAATAATTAACAACGGTTTGTAAAAAGAACGTTTTATCAATTTACATTTTCGCAAACAGTAATTTAACACTGATTTTTGCAACGCTGGAAGTTAATGAGAAATTCATGATATTGGAGACGTATTTTCTTTTAATTATGCTGTAATTTTATATTGCCGATGCTCTAAATTACAAGCTATTCGTTAATTCTAGTAACTGTGTTAAATGAAGTTTTTGTACGATAATTGTAACCTTGTTTGTCGTATGACTGACATAGTATATTCTTTGCTACATTAATGATCATCGTTACTGATCCACGTTTTTCGATCATGGAGAAGAGCAATTCTTTCATTAAATTGTTGTTTCATTGGATACTTGTTAATTACAACAACGGAACGGACATGCCATGAGCATATGTCATTAAGTTATTGTCTTATTAAGTTAATATTCGTTAAAATAATTAACAATTTTGATGTCAATTGTGTAACGACATCTCTAATTAACGCACCATTTCGGAGAGCGCGTGTTGTCTCGCGGTTCGATTTATTTTACGATTTCTCTCGCCGAATTCTTTATATCATAATAAAAAATAATTATTTGGTCACAACTCTACGTTCGCGTTGATGAGTGAGTTAATTAAGGACGTTAAAAGTGAATAACAGTGGCCGGTTTGGCACAACGAACCACAAAGCTGATTTTTCATACGTGCGATTTTCACGAGAACATTTTCACGTCCCGCTGATCACCACCGACCGGCTGGCCAGACTTTTTACATGGCGCTTGTTGCAGATTATGCAAACGCGCGACGCTGACGGTAACACCGATTTAATTTGCCGGGACTGCACAACACATCATAACTATAAAATGAAAGATTAAAAGGAGTACCCGATTGTTCGCGTTATTTGCCTCGTCCTCCGCGTCCATTTCCGGTCTCGCAAACAACGTAATCCCGATGTTGCATCATTCAAGTCGACGAAATAACGCCATTTATTTCTGCGCAAAATTTCACGCGAAATGCACAAAAAATTTTAATATAAACAAATTTTTTGCGGCCATTTTCACCGTGGAAAATATAGAGCAACGGTTTTTCCTTACCTCCGAGTGACAGCAAGTTTATAACAAATGTATATAAAGTTAGATATATGGAATTTTGCAGTAATAATAGTAACTTTGCCAGTGCGCCGAAATTAACCGGCGCGATAAGTATTAAATATCATTGCAATTTATAAAAACAAAAATATATTTATGAAAATTAAATCTAAAAATATTGTATTCTGACATTTTCTCATTTATGATATATAATTTTCGATTAATTATGATTTTTGCAGTGTCTGTTATATAACTATGTAAATTCTATATTATATTTCTCATTAAACGTAATAACTTCAATTTCGCTCATTTAGTTTCGTCGACCTGAGGGTCGAAACGAAATAGAGTTGATTATCCAAACGGTCTAATCGTCGGACGTGGGTCCGACGAAACGGCGCAGAACGACACTTTCTGTTTCGATGGTAGATTGTAAAGTCGAACAAGTAATACCTCGTTTTATGGCTAACATTTAACATGGGTCCCTCATTCAACATGGGTTAAGCATGGGTTTGTGAGACGTATATGACTAATCTGCGTGAGCCGACCCAACACTAATCGAGATCCATGCAATTAATTTGAGCATGTATCAGACTACTGTAAATATGTTGCATGTTGTACGTATGCGTATGTATGTATATAAGATGTACATGTGTACATATATAGATATATTTGACCTGCCGCGTCTTTTCATATATGCATTTATTTCAAGCAATTTAGGCCCGCTTTTCTTAATAAAAATATCAAAAAATGAATTGACTCTAAAGGCTATATTTGTTAAAACAAAATTGACTCTAAAGGTTATTCAATAAATACTGCGCACACACACACTGTGTGAAACGGCATGTCACGTTAACGAAACTTCAAATATTTTCATATTGAATGGAACAATGAACACTAGACGAAACGATGCAAAACGACACCTTCCGTTTAAAAAATAAATAAAAAAAATAATTAAAAAAATAGAAATTTTTAACGTAACGTGTGTAAATTCGTCTTAGTTGCACATAAAAAAATAAAATATCGCGTGAATTAAACTGCGAAAATGTATAATAAATAGATATAATAATCAAATCTTGTTATATTAATTTTAATAAAATTAATATTAATTAATAGTTACGTTAAAAATATTAAAAGTGAAGTGAAGTAAAAAGTATATTGAATATTAAAAAATAATTCGCATCGAGTTCTTGCTTAATGGAAAAATTAATTATATTTTGAACGTAGCCTTTACACATGTCATGCTATGCATCTTATATACATTTCGGCATATAGTACGTGACTCTGATCCCTTTCAACTTCAACTATCTGCAATGAGATTGCATGGACGGGGCTGGTTGGTTACCAGCAGCAATTCCACGAGCTTCTCAACTGCGGAATATTAACGCCTGCAAGTAAGTGAGTCGATTTCTACCCTAAAATCGCGATGTTCTTCTCTCTATCGTGCTTGACCACACGATTCGCCGCAATTTGCGAGCGACGTGTCGAGATTCGCAGAATAGTTTGTCTTGCAAGTGACACAATGACGTTTCCCTGTCCTACCATGAATGAATGGACTATTCAGTGTTTCCATGTTTGCTACGCGCTGTCTGACAAAATTTCCAAACGTCACATTCGCTTTAATTATCTTTTCCATTAGGTATCTATTTCTATTAGCCTTAAAAGCCACATATTTTTCAAATTGTTGACAAAAAGATCTTTATAAATTAATAAGCACGTGTATATAACAATCCTAAAGAAATTATATTTTGAATGTCATATTTAAAGTCCTAATTTCTTATATTTTTATATAATTTATGTCTCCACATTTTTTAGATATATGCTAATATATATATTTCTAAAATTTTAAATGTCACAATTTAAAAACAATAAATTGCATACATTAAGCAGAAGTAAAAATTTTTTCATAATTTGTCCCTATATTTCTCTATATTTCACTATTAAGATAGAGAAAGAATAATTTTGTATTATATTATTTATAATACTTGTGAAAATGCAAATAGCAGAAGAGAATATAAATATGAGAACATAATGAATGAATTCACTCACCAGTTGTTGTATCTTGACTAAGAATGTTTATAGTGTCAGTAAGAATTATAAAAAGACCAAGTAGGATTCTCTTGAAAAGTATGTCCATAAATGTATCTGAAAAATATATATATCTATTATACAGTGTCATATATCTTATATATGTATTAATTATTACTTAATTATGTATATTATTATTATCTAATTATTTACACTTTGATTAAAACATAATCATATGTCATGAATTGCATAAGTAACTATTAAAAAATTGTAATAATGTCAAATATATATTTCAATAAATATTAAACATTTTTTCAAACATTTTAATAAATATTAATAAATAAATATAAATTGTAATTATGTATGCATGGTGTATATAATGTGTGATCACAATTGTGTATATATTTAAGTACAAACAAATAATTATATTTACCAGCTAGAATTGCAGTTTTTTCCATTTGCTGCAGACTTCACTTTCAATTGCTTTATCGAAGAATTGATGAATATTAAGCACTTGAACTTATTACTTAACCGTAACTAAACAAAAATCGACCCATATACTTTATTTATAAAAAATCACGAATTTGCCACAGCACGTCACACAAAACGCGTCCACATACCTGTTTCGATTATTATAATATTAATTTACACATTGCGCGAACCGATGCTTTACATATACGTATTCAGAGTGAGTGAAACGAATGACGGCAATCGTATGAAGATTGTCAAGTATAAATACGTACACGAGTTTGTTTAACCCATTTTAACTCGAATGAGCCAAATTTTCAGCAGACTTCACCTAAAAATATACTACGTTTAGATTTCCATAAGCAAATATAGAGACTATTTTGCGTATCTAGCAAACAAATTTGCATACTCACTGAAATTGTAACCTCTTTCAATGACTACTGTTGTAACCTCTTTTCAACGGTCCGAGCGCCAAACGATCGACATTGTTAATCGCGACATGCATGAGAAATAATATGTTCCGGCAATCGTCCGTCACTTTAATCGACACTCCCGACAAAATATAATCGTTATACGTTACGCGATTATTACGAGTAACACAGTAAACAATTTACGCTTCATAAAACATTCGCGCTCTGCGTTCCGAGTCGAACCGGAAGACATCACAGTGGGGAATAAAGTAGTGGCGCCACTTTACCGCCCACTGCGCGCTCTGCTGTGACGCTATGGCTCTATTTCCGGTTGGACTTGGGACGCATAGCGCAAACGCCATGTAACGTAAATTATGCAATCGCGTATTTTATTCGTAATGATCGTGTAACAAACATACGTAAGAATTTCAAAGCTTTATAGTGCTGATTATAACGGTAGGTAGAACGTATTATTTATATCGCGGATGCGTTTAAGAGCATCAGTCGTTTGGCGACTAGATCTTGTATTCAACTAGTTACAGTTTAGTGAGTATGCAGATTTGAATATTAGGGATATACGCGAAATAATTTTTACAATTCGTGAATGAGATCGTAATATACTTCTTATTCGATGTAGCATGTTGACAATTTGTCAAAATTGAGTCGGGTAAAACGTACAATTACTCACACAGCACACATATCCAAAAGACATCCTGAAGATATCTTTGAGCGATACGATATCTTCGGAATGTTCCCCGAACGTCTCCTGGATATACGTGCTGTATGGGTAGGTATAGTTGTATGTGTTCATGCCTAACGATATTCATGTCATTACAAAAAATGTCGTAGTTCGTTTTGCTTACTCTAAATGTACGTACAATATTAAATAAATCGCGGAATACATAATTGAAGGTTATAATAATTGAATAATTATGTGCGTGGGTGCATTGTGACAAAGTGCATTTTGTGTATCGTAACGTGACGTGTTCTCGTAAGTAAATACGGAATTTTCGTGTAACATGTGTGGATCAATTTTTGTTTAGTAGTGTGAGTAACTGATAATAAGTGCGGGTATTCGATATCTACCGACTCATTTCATGCGATGTTTGCTGTGAAGTGAACTGCAATATTCTAGCTGGTAAATATAATTATTTATTTATTGTTTAAATATGTATTTAATTTTGTAGCAATACATATATATGATACAATTTGTATTTATTAAATATTTATTATAAAATATTTGAAAATGGTTATTAAAATATTTATCAAATATTTATTAAAATTTCCGTTTACAAAATTCTTGTACATAATTGTATATTGTTTTTATTAGTATTATATAAATTGTAATAAGTAAAATATATATTAATATTTCTTAGTTGACTTTGATAAATTTGATGCAAAGTCTAATTGTAAGACAGAATCTAGCGGATGGAACAATATAATATTCTAATTATTATTAAATATATTAATTTGATAAACGCACGCATACGCATGCGTATAGTTTCTATTTATTAATATTAAATATTAATATATAAATATTTAAAAATATTTTAAATATTGAAAAATATTTGTTAAAATATTTATTAAATATTTCATATAAGTTTTTAAATAATTTTTGGCTATTTATTGCATATGATTATATATTCCAATCTCTCTAAATTGAAGTAATTAATATATATAAAATAAATAGTATTTCACAAAAATTAAACTATATATTTTTTCAGATACAGTGAAGAGGACAAGCAAAGATACAGGCAAGAGAGAGGAGAATTAAACAAGAGTACACAACAATTGGTGAGTGAGATTATTTATTATGCTTGCGTATGCGTAATATCACAAAATGCTGATATTAAATAATATTATTTTATTCGTCAATATTTATTATCTATATAAAAACTGCAATTTGACAATATCGTGTCGACAAATTATATCGTCGTCGGTTGTTTGCACATTTTTGCAAATAAATAATAGAATACAAAATTATTATCTTCTTATCTTAACAATGGAAATTTTCAAATTTTATCAGGAAAGATGTCATCAGTGTTAAAATTTATTACATATTATTTTCTGTCTTTCATTCGTTTTCTCATTTTAATGCTAAATGTTATGTGACCACTGTAAAGATAAATAATTAATATGTCATACATAACAAATAAATAATAAATAAATAAATAATAAATAAATAAATAATAAATTAGTTAAATTAAAATTGCTCCGTCAATACTCGATGTTCCCTAAATTTTCTCTTTCTCCTCTCAACGATTTATTGCAATTTTTTGTAGGAAATAATTTTATATTATTTATTACGATTGTGATACAAGTCGTAATATAATACAGAACGATTTCCATTGCCGTTTATTTTTTTTGAGTGTCGTCGTGCGAACGGTAGCAAGATGATAAGCGCGTGTACACATCACGACATAGATCACAAAACCAAAATAACTATTGATTGTGAGTTGCGCGTTAAAGTATTTTGATGCTAACTCGTGACGTCGGTGGTTATTTATGTTACTTATGATCTAATTGTAAGATGTCTCTCTCTCTCTTTCTCTCTCTCTCTCTCTCTTTCTTTCTCTCTCTCTCTCTTTCTCTCTCTTTCTCGTAGGCGCTCTGTTGTCCTTCCATCTTTCTTCATGCGCATCACCTTGCTATCAATCGCACAACATACTTAAATAAAATAAGCGAGAATGGCTTCGTATCATCATCTTATATCACGCAATTGCAATAAATATTATAAGATTTTTTCCTAAAAAACAATTATTTCCGATAAATCATTGAAAGAAGGGATCGGCATAGCAACTTTAAGAGAAGTAATTTATTATTTATTAGTTATAGGATATTAATTGTTTATTCCTGCAGTGGTAACGTAGCACAGTTTACATTGTTATATAATATAACGCATACAAAATAAATAATTAAAAAATGTTTAGAATATTTAGTACAAAGTAATAACAAATAAGGAAGAGAAAACAGTCATAAAAATATAAGATAAAGATTTTTTACGATAAAATTAATATCTTAACAAAAAGGATGCAGAAATATTAAAAAGAAAAATATATAACTTCTCAATTTTGTACCTTCATACTATACATATAGTTTTTGATAAAACACGTTTGCATTATCTCATATGAAATGCATACGGTTATTTAATCATGCAGTATGAATAGTGGCATAGTTGCAATAATTAGCGTCGTTAATTAATATCGGGTTTCATCAATTTATGATGCATTAACAAACCAACTTTACTTCACTCGCTACGTGCTAGGTGCACGATAGCGTGCTATTGTTCGCGCTACTGTCTGGGATTAGCCTCGTGGCGTTCATGGAGAGAGGCGATAGCCACGACGGAGGTCGCAAGTTGCTTATACGCCGGGGTTAGATTTCAGTGCATTTGCTTTAGCTAAAATTCTGTTGGTCCTGCGCGCGGCGACCTGCTCTCTCATGGTTCATTGAAATCCAAGCTAAAAGGGGAAGCGGAAGCCGGCTCCGAAGCCGCGCGCTACAGTAAGTCTCGGATTAAATCGGGATTATTCCACTTTGTGTAATCAAACGACCGACTACATTAAGGAAAATGTTTTTCTTGTACACGCGCCGTTATATTATTTAAGCTCGGCGCCTCCAAGCATGGATTTGCATGCAGGTCACTGTCAGATTTACGGTTCGCCGCATGTACAACGTTGATGCGGATTATATTTTTCTATAAAATTGTGTTTCGCCAGACGCGTCGGATCGGTCTACGTTATGCGCGACAGTAAAATAATAAAAATCGTAAATTGTTATCTGCGTATTTTGATACGAAGAGCGGGTTGTGTATTTTAGAAAAAATTTATTTGTGCAAAATTATTGATGCATTAATATTGGAAATAAATCCACAACTCTTCATATATAATAGTGATACACGACGTGCAATTCAGTGCGTAATTATACAGCGTGTTTGTTTAACAATTTTGTTAAACGTAGAATCTAGAATGCAGGGGAAACCTCAAGTTTCCTCAGATCAAAGAAACCTCAGATCAAGTTCCTGGTCTTTCCTCAAAGAAAGCGATCGATCCAAGCTGCTGTTAACACAAGATGTAACAATAATAATACGGGGCATAATAATTTCACCGCAGTTGTAAGGTGTCGAGGGAAAAAATTAATTGTCAAGCGGGGAAAATTGAGCGAGCGCGTGTTAGCCTTTTCTCCTCGCGCCGTAATCGCGGCACGTTTAACGTTTTATCTGGAAAGGATAGACAGGTGAACAAAGACTGACCGACGTTTCTCATCCAAAGCGGATCCCGAGAGTACATTCTACGCGATCTTATCCCGTCTTCTTTCTCTCCGGGATGTCTTCTGTGTACCCCTGAGTATCTTACCTACTGCTAGACGATCGATCGTCCCAAGAATGGGGAGGTAAACCACCCATCCCCTCTTCTCGGCTTTCGCATTATCAAAAGACTATCATTATTGTTGCTGTGAATTTGATACACTTTGATAGTGATATTTATTTCAAAAAAAATTCGCCAAAATTGACGTATCCAGAGATGTATCACGTGAAAATAAATCGGAATTTATATCTATAAACACGTAATAAAAAGAGTTGTTAAAAATAAATATCAAATGATGCAGTAAAAATAATAACGTTATATATTACTGAAATTAAATTCA